AACTGCCAAGCCACTGACCTGAATGCACGTACAGGTTGTGTTCCTTTCAGGATGCCGCGATGACTCAGATGCCTGCAGGGCAGAGATAAGGCTTAAGACAGATGAGCACTCTCCAGCAGTTTGCAAAGGAACTCATTCTCACCCTTTCAGAGCCTGCTCCCAGCCCCGTGGTTGCCTGGCATCCCGTTTCACTGGATGCCTTGCTCCTGCTTCCCAAGACGCACACTGTACCCACGCTCTGACCTTCACATGTGACAAGAACCAAGTAGTCAGTTTTGTCAAGTCCAAATGGGAGTGAGGAGCATGAGTGGCCCCAGATTGCCTCCAAACTGGGAGGGGAAGGAGTCCCACACCTTTACTGGGAACTGAGAGTTGCCCATTGGGGGTTAGCCTATACACCTAAGCCCACAACAGACATGACATCATGCTCTACGTTATGTTACTGAGTTTGCATTTGGAATCATCTAGGGGATCAGAAAAGTGCTGCCACAGCAGTTACCAGGGTACCACGGTACCTGCTCTGTCCTTTCTCGTCTCTGGAACAAGCAGCAGGGCCCAGAGAACAGAGCCCAGAAACCAGGTTTTGCTGCTGATGCTCAGCCCTATTTACAAACCCAACATATCCCAAACTACACGTAGACAATTCCTCAGGTACAGCTAATGCAGCTGGTTAGTCCCCATTAGGGCTGCACTAAGAAGGCGCAGCAGCAGCTTGTAGGAGACTACACTGTGGATGGACACACACAGAGGCTCATCCCCTTGGAAAAGCAATTTTTGCAAACACCTGCTCACGTCTGGCACAGAAAAGAGCTCCTGTGAAAGCGGTAACTCTGCCATAAGAGTCTGGGTCACTCTCTGGAAGCATTTCTTGGACACTGCTGAAAGCTCCAGCTAATTTCTGGTGGGCACCAGACAGCTGGCACTAGACACAGCACTGACCACAGCACAACGCAAACGGCTCTGATGTCTGTAATTACACGCTTTCCCTCTACCTGCTACCACTTCCTAAAGCTTCCAGGCTGCTTCTGGCTCACACACAGCACAGCAGCTCCTGATCTAGCAGTAAGGCCCTCTGAAGATAAGATTCATAAAAGTATCACCATCTTTCTTCAAGTTAGCAATGCCAGCGCACTCACAGATCGGTCGCTTCTGTATCAATACATCTTGTCTGGATGGGTCAGAGAACAGCAGCTGCTCACAGCAAAGGAACGAACAAGTTTCCATTGCCACATAACACTGTCCTCTAGTATCAGTGACTCCTTCATGCAAATCCCCAGCACTAGACCTCAGCCTTACAGGGATTTTAGCTCCTTAGCATGGAGGAGACCCAAGAATATTCTTGTGAAATCACTTTTCAGAACTGTATTTTATTTATATACAACATTACAACAACAACAGAAACAACTCAGGCACTTCCACACACCAATGTAGTTACAGCCGCTGTAACTACCACCGTGATTATTCAAGACATACTGCTCCTCAAACTCAATCAGAAAGTGTTTGTGCAAAAGTTTCCAGTGCAAGTAAATCTGTAATAAACTTTAAGATCCCAAGAGCTTGACTCAGAGCCCAGTCCTTGGATCATCGTGCTGTGTTAAAGCAATACATTTTTGAGTTGGTTTTTTTGTTGTTGTTGTTTTTTTTTTCTTTCCCCCCCACCATTCCTCTCCCTTTTTCCTGCTGCCTGGCAGGACTGGTGCGATTGCTGGCCCAGGGCAGCGGAGCTGGGCTGCAGTGGATCCAGCAGCACACACTGGCCTTTCTTCCTTTGAGTCATTTCAAGTGCTCTGTCGCTCATTAGTCATCATCAGCTTTCCCACACGAGACTGAATGTTGCCAGCAGTCAGACACTGGCCTCGGTCTTGCAGAGCCACCATAGTAGGTGGACCCTCGCTTATGTGCCTGTGACTTCCCTGGGCTTCAGCCTGGCTGGGAGGAACCAAGATGAGCCTCCCATGCTGTGTCTCACCGAGCTACCAGCTTCATCCCCACCCCATGACAATTCAATTGCCTCGGTAACCCACTGACATGAAAAAACTCACTAAAAAAACAACCCCTACGGCTCAAGCACAGTCTGTTAGTAGAGGACACACTTCCACCACAACTCCATTTTTAAAGTACCGTGTATCTGTGTCCCGCTGTGCTCATCAGGGGCTTCTTCCCCAACCCCTTCTGTAGCTGTGCGTTACTGACACCGCACACCTAATGCTGTCATCCTGCACCAGCGTCCACATGATCCACATCTCGGTTGGGTTTAGTCTGTGCACAATCATCAGCTTTTTGTACAAGCAGGGATCGAAAGGGTTGAAGGGTCTCTGGATCCCGAAAGTCTTGAAGCCAGAGTGGTTCTTCGGGGTCACCACCATCTTTGCCAGACACATTCCCACGAAGACATCGTCAATTGGGAAGAGCTCCATGTCCTCTGCGGTGCTCTGGAGGCGGCGCACCGTCTCTCGAGACATCACGTAGCCCCCTCCCCCCGCATAGAGAGGATAGAAGGGGACGCTGTACATGGACTCTGGAATAAAGTATTTGACCTTGGTGTTCCTGATGGGCCGGGCGTTGGCGATCACATCCCCAACAAAGAGATCCTGCTCAGGGTCCAGTTCCTGGAGGAACTCAACAATGTTATAAGTGTTGACAAAGACATCGTCATCGCCCTTCAGCACAAACCTGGCGTGCAGGCAGTCCTCCATGAACCAGCGGAGGAAATGCAGCTCCTTGAGGGTCAAGTTGAAGAAGTTGTCAACAAAATCCCACTGCAAGATGTCGCCAAACTGCCGGCTCTCGTATGCCAGCAGCTGGTGCAGGGGCTGTACCTGGAGTTTGGTCTCCGAGTGCCCTAGAAGGAACACCAGCCTGATGCGCTTGCCACCGATGGAGACCTCCTTCCCCCACGT